GAATACAACAATACGTTGCGAATAAAAAGTTATTTTGCTTTTGTGTTGATCATCGCTCTCTCGTCTCGACAAAACGTCGAAATAGATTTTTGTCCCGTCCAGTAAATTGACTTTCGCGTAGTAAGGCCTCGCAGAAGTGGAGGACATGATGATGATTCATTTCTTAAATTAAAAATAATGATTTAATGAAGGGTATTGATTCCTTGGGATCAGTGAATTGGCGAATAAAGAGAAATCACTTCTCCAGCCAATTATTGGAAGTTGCAATGTCAAGGGTCACCTTCTGTCTTTCTTCCGCTATTGAGCTTTCTTCCAAGTGGGGGTGAGTTTGTAGTTCCTCAGGAGATAAGGAGGAGACCCCATAAGTAAAATATTACGGGTTCATGGATGTCATGGCAAATTCAGATGATGAGGTATGAGTCATGCCACGATTGAGAACTACTGTCAGATTCACGATATAGGTAGAATATATATATATTTTTTTTTTGTCCGCATTGTTCGCTCTTCAGTTGGATTTGGTTTCCCGAGAATCAGGATTCAATTCTTGCACGTTCACCATTGCAGAGTTCTTCGTCTTCGGACTCACACTTAAGAATATATATTTGAGACGTCGTCGTCATAATCGGAAGAGTCTGATTGGGAGCGTTTAACAAGCGCTCTTTGATATGTATTCACTGTGTTTCAACCGGAGTGAATGCATTCATGGTCAATTTATATGAAACATCAGTGGGTGTTTAAATATGGTTTTCCAAAGTTTCGGAACTGGTAGGTCATGCTGAAAGTAAAGGGAATGGTACGGGCCGGATAGCCAAAATATCATATATTTAATAAAAAATTTTAGATGAGGAACGTCATACAAATACACTTAAGGTGCAACTCCTTTATGCATTTTATTGGCTCGAATGTGAAGCACATGATATGTCGGATCAGACCCACGGGCCGTTCTTGGAACCGGTTTACATGGAATCTACTGCGGGCCCACTCGGTTTCATTCAAGTCTATAAGCTGGACCCTTCTCAAAACGACGTATTCCATCCCACTCTTTTCTGAGAATGATAAGGAACAACTTTCTCTTTTCTCAAACTTATTTGTCGTATTGCAAACGTTGGGGTGCTGCGGTCAGCTTCGATGCAGTCGCTTAGAGACACTCTTGCTTCCCCCGCGAAATTGGAAGCTTTCGAGCTGAATAAAGGGAGATTGGTCAAAGAAGCGTATCACTTCCAGGGATCAATTACTCTGGAAAAGGAAAAAGAGGCCGACCCAGTTTCCCTTCTGCAACGGAAATGAATCGCTTTTTACTCTATCTATCCAGAAGTGAGAGCCTGAATGTGACTTCTACTCAAAAGACCCACATGTGCAGAGCGGAAAATCTCCTTCCCTCTTCTGTGTATTACCTTCATAATGCTGACTTTCGTCTAGATTTTTGTTGTACTCCGAGGGAGAGGAAATTTGGCCTGAACAGGAAATTGAAATTTTTTCACCTCGTTGAACGGACTGCATGAAGCACACATCACAATGGAAGGGGATTCCTTGACTGATGTTTCCCTTGGCCTGAACTGGATCATATGGTCGGGTTCCACGATCGAGATGAACTGAATTTCTTATAAATTGACGTGATCTGTTGATTCCCTATTGACAGAGCATAGAGATGGTCGTAGTGTGTCTGTCCCCATTGCCACTACTGGGGTCTGCTGCATGGTGGCTGTGTGTGGTGGCTGTGCTGCAATCCGCCTTTAAGACAAAGAAATAGTATGTCTGAGAGTCTGCAAATAAGGTTTCGAGCTCTATCCACATCGCCGCGCTGCTTTTTCTCTTCTTGTGTGCTATCACTTATTCAGGGCGCAGCCAAGGTGCTTGGAACATGAGACTCTTTACACCGAGCTGACTTGTTCAGCTTGTTAGAGGATATCTGCATAACCAAAACAGGGAATTCTCTTCTGAATGGGAACAACTTCGAGGCCTCCAGCTCAAGTGGTCAAGGGGTGCTTGCGCTTAAGACTCCGATTCGCTTGAAAAAAATGCACGCATGGTGGCCTTCAAGAGTTATGGAAAAAATTTTAATTTCGATGCTCTGGCTTCAACGGTTCTCGAGATATGCGGCCCCAAAGTTATCCCCCTAGAGGGGGATCAAAGCGCGAAAGGGAGATTCAAGTTATGAGAGAGAAGGAAGGGGTAGCCAAGCAAATAAGATTTTCCATAGCACTATATGATAGCTTCGACTCCAGTTTGATGATGGTGTTATGTACTTTTTACAATAGATAGTGCCGTTATCGTCCTTTTGGTATTTCCTGTAACATTTATATGTGATTTTAGAGGACTCATGGGTTGCCATAAACCAATGTTCAACCTATAATTTCGTATCGGCGAGGCTGCACTTGTGCAGTCAACTCTCGTTAATCCGGATAGGGGACTGGTGATTTTGTCCGGATTATCGAAAACCTGCCCATCAACCTGATCATTCATCTTTTTTTTCCCGGAGAATAAAAATGCACCATTAACGTACTTCATTGATTCCCCATTGGAATAAGAAAACACGACAGCTCCTTTGATCATTCACATTGAAGAAATCCAAAAGTTTATTATGCTTTGATTCGTGCATCTTCAAAGCGCGCATTCGTTTCCGCGATAGAGGGATATCAGCCAGAACAGCATACTTTTCAAGTTTATCGCGACACTTCTTTATATCCGACACTGTCGATGCTGGAATATTCAAATCGCGTGCTAGCCTCCCTCAACTTGCCTTTCACCTAAGCTCAAGCGCTTCAGAACTTCCAACTTCTCTCGTGCGAGATCGCTTCGAGAACGCTTACTCATGACAGGAGAGAAACTTCTCGTGGCTCTAATGGCAAGGGTGGATGAGACTGACAGGAGGAATGAGATCACAGAAAAACGTAAGAAAGTCGCAAGAAAAGAGCATTCCTGATTACCCGATTCCAGGAAAGGGGTGAGATCGAAGGAGATATGAGTTTTTTCTCTTTTTGAATTTTTTATTCCACGGATTTTGTTCCTAGCAAATCCGGATTAATGGAGAAGAATGGCTCAGAGAATGAGAAAACTCATCCGTATTAACAGAAAGTACGAAATAGCAACGTTCGGATTTGACGAAGAATATTATTATAGGTTCTATGAGACTTCAGCTGGGAACATTCCTCGTGCCCAAATTACCGGGAAATCCGGATTAACGAGAGTAAACGATGATGAAGCGGAGCCGATTGACTTCATTTCCGATCTCGGATCCAGAAATCCAAGTTTCGGGCAAATTTAAAGCCAATCTCTCGTCGTTGACATCACGAAGGTAGAATTTGAAGAACGGAGTCCTGGTCTCGGCATGAGACATCGTTTTTCATGAGCTCATTTGAATAAAGGGGGTAAAAGGGGGGCGGGGGGGGAGGGACGGAAGGAGGGGAATCTGTCAGCCGCAACTTCCCCCTTTCAACTCGCTCCGAGATCTTTTTTCTTGCCGAGCCCTCCTTCCGCCCTTCACACCTAAAGATCTAATTCACCTCCGACTCTTCTATAGGAAGATAAATTGGACCCTTGTTCTTGTGACACCAATCTAAAATAATAATCAAAGTTTAATTGACGTCTGATAATACACTGGTCCGAACTGCAGAAACACGCATGTCATAATCGTAGAGGCAGATCTCCTGGGTGCAGTTGACCTTGTCGAGGCCAAATGACCCCCATCCACAATTACCTTGTTCTGCACTATGCGCTTTACGGCGAGAGTGTCACTTTTGTACGCGTAGGTGTGCATGGTTGGCTTTCCAAAGGACCAAGGCTAACAAAGGTGAGAACCATGTCATTTACTTGAATGTACACGAGTGAAAGAAATACTTAAAAGAAAGACGAAAAGAAAGAAATACTTAGACAACGCGGAAGTCGTCCGGATTGCAATGGAATTAACATAAATTTCGGAGAATTTTAAATCAGGAATAGCTTTCGTTGTCAAATTTTCATCCAAGTAGCTCTAGATTCACAATGTAGGACATTATAGATGCCGAGTGGAACGTGAATGAAGTGCAACTGAGGTTTGACATGACGTCCCAGTTTGATAATGCGGCAGGAGCTCTCAAAAATGGGAATAAAAGCCTTTCTAATAGGAATTTTAAATGCATGAAGCGTTCTATGTATCTCTATGCATAGAAAATGCAGAACATTTTTCATTTTACTAGGATTTCTGAGTTCCTGACTGTTTCTCGGTGTTTGTTGTGAGTTCCAAATACAGGACTGAATCCTCTGCGGTTTTGTGTCTTGGAGGTTCAGTTAGCCATCTAAGAATACCATCTTTCTGGGTCATTCTGTTCCCAAGATCCTCTGGTCGAAATTCCTTGAGAGCGACACTGCCTTTCTCCTCTCTTTATCCCCCAACGCGGGTCGTATCACTGGCGTCTCGAGGAAGTAACGGCGAGACTGAGTCATGTGGTCAAACCTTTCATGTTAGCCTCTACGTAACTTTGTTTCATTGGATATCTCGCGGTTCTTTTTGTTTTGCAGCATTTTTATCTTAAGTCAGGCATTTTCCACCTGGCTGTGTTCAGTAAAAGGAGGCATTCAAGGAAACGAAACTGAAGCCCAGCGGAGAGTGCAGTGTCCTCGCTGGTCATAGCAATAGATCTTTCCTACGGCTCGTGGACTCAAACTAAAGAGGAATTCATGGAAGCACTCATCCAGAGTGCGAATGTGATTTACGTTGGAACCTATACAAGTGCGATCTAATTGCCAAAACCTGAAGCATTCAAACCCACCCATTCACGCATTTCCAACACTTTCTCTCTCCTTTCCCTTGCAGTTGCTGCTGCTGTCAGGCAAGGCTCATATACCGTAGATGTAAATATTCGTAGGAGTAAAAGAAGCTGCATAAACGTGTGCTCTTTCTCCATGGATAATATTAATATTTCCCACCTATCGGAGTTGCTCTGCATTTCTGTTGAAGCATGGAAATTCATTTCAAAGGTTTCTGTTTTTTTTTTCAGATCCTTGTCCCTTTCAGCAGAAACATGGTGTGAAATGTCATAACCACAAGCGTTATCATTTATGCTTGTGATCATTACTGTGACACATTCCGTATAAGGACGCTATCCGTGATGAATGGCGAAAGGGCAGAGAGATTTAATTCACTGGGTCCTCTCATTCCCCTTACTTTCCAGTGCTTAAATTGAATATCGCCAACAATTCAATCTTCCACCATGACAAACGTCAACCAACGATGTGGCCAAAAATGGAAACAAAGACATTCTACTCAAGCGTTATGGAAATCGGTGGATGTTGTATCAAATCCTTGGGTCTTCCATACCAACTATGAGACGTATTTCATTTCCAGCTGCAAGACTAGGATTTTTTTTGCGCCCACAAAACATTAGGAAAGTTGATGGACGAGACTGTACGTTGTTCAAAGAAGTGCTTCCGAGGAATTTTGGAAGGAGATAAGATTTATCCACAGGACAGCATCAGCTTCCAAACGATTTGATTTCTTGGAGCTTTATGCAGAGCCCTAACTAAATGCGCTGCTAACTTAGTGCGTTTTATTTACAATTTGTCTGCAGGCTCTTTGAAAATCACTACGAACTCCTGAACCTGTTCGAGAAATTCCAAGGCTTGAAGACGCGAGATGAGCAGGCAGAGAGCATGGAATTGGCAGACCATGCTGGAATCGTGATGACCACCCTGGACAAGGGCATCAAATCTCTGGACAACATCGACGAGTTCTTCCAGTACGTCCATACCGTTGGAGCAAGTCATACCCAGATACCGGGGTTCAAGAAGGATAATTTCGGGGTATGCGTCTCGAATCCTTTCTTTTCCTTTCTGGAAAATCCTCCCTCGTATTCATGGATGAATTCTCATTTCAGAAAATCAAAGAGCCGTTCCTGTATGCGGTGCGAGAGACGCTGCAAGAGCGATACACGACAAACATCGAAGTCATCTACAAGATCACGATAGATTTCATCATCGATACCCTCGTCGAAGGATATGAAAAAGCTCTTCAGTGCCAAGAGAATGCTGTTAGTTCTACAGAGGACTAAGTGAAAATCCTGAGCTTGACCCTCTCAATCCGTCCACCTTATCCATCATCATCTGGGTCTAACAGAAATCCCCACTTTAGCTCAGGCACAAGATTGGAAAAAAAACCCTTATCATGGTCACTTAGATATTGCCATCGGACTTTTCTTCTTCGAACCCATTTTGTTCCCATATGTGTACCCGTGAGAGGCCATCATGAAGAAAGATTGTGCGACCTGGGACGCCCGGAATCGAGTGAGAGAAAAAAAAACTTGCTTTGGAGATTTTAACTTCCCTTTTTTTCCTCTCAGTCCTTGACGTATCGTGAGTACCGCTCAAGATGAGAGGACGTAATATCGACGTTCTCCAGTAAGAGTTCCTGTTGTCCTTGTCGAGTCGTGAAGTGAGAACATTCCATTCTTATACGATGCTTCACTTGCATGGACATATTTTAAATGTGCACTGAATGAAGGCTCGATGTCTCTGCTCCTCGTGTTCACGATTTATTTCATGAGTTACAGGAGAATGGGAATGAATGAGAATGATTGATGCTCAATAATAATGATCCCGAGCGGGGGCATGGGAAAGGGAAGAGGGGGAGGGGACGTATCTCACGTTGGCTCTGTATCCATGTTTATCGGCCACGTAATCCACGATCTGCCTCAATCCGTTGGGCAAATCCACGAAGTAACTGCCTCGAGTATCGGATCCCTGTCGAGTCTCACCGTGACCGTAGTGATTCTTTTCGTATTCGTCGTGCACCACGTACTGGAAGTCGTAGTTCGGCACCGTCTAAATCAAATAGAAGACATTATCTGCATTTGGCATCGTCAGGCATACGGTCTAGGAAAGGAAACGCGCGATGTCCCATAATGAACCTTGAAGATGATGACAGCCACCGCATCAACACAAAATATGGATCGTGTGATAGCGAACATAGATGACTTTTCAAAATGGCAAAAACTTGAAACAATTTATAATACAGAATGACATTATAAATACAGCAGATTCAGTCATCAATCGGCTGTGAGCTGCTGGTAACAAGAGAGGGCCAAAGTGAAGTCTTCTAGTCCTATTCCTATTCTTATTCATGATTGTCAGCTGATGAATACGTCCGTTGTCCTTTGAATCAAAACTTAAATGCATACATTTTCGAGCATCTGTAATTTTAAAGATATAAATCCGCGATCGTCCCAATCCCTGGAATTATGATCGATCCTCAAGTTCAGGCGAGAACATGGATACAATTGAAGCTCGTGATCATGGTGAAACTAGTTTAATAAAAATGCAGAGTATCCAAGAAGTTGTATGGCGTAAAGTATGCCCTATGTCTCGCAGAAATTGTAAGGAAAATGAACTTGTAGATTCAAAAGAGCTGCTCTGCAGAGCTTAAGTAATTATCTTCTCAATTTAGAGATCTCTTTCAAAAACTTTGTCACTGTATGCATAATTGATGACTCACGTGATATCGATCTACCAATGGAGCACTACTTACATTAATTCCCAGGCTCTTATGTAACCGTTGAATCCTTCCGCTGCACATGAAGTTTCCAGAGGGGAACCTTCGATTCTTACTCATTCTGTTTATCTAATGGTTTTTTTTTTTGCATCGCGAACGAGAGTTTAATGCAGATGCGTAATGGATGAGTTTGTAGCCAGCAGTAAGAGAAGAGAGCAGAATGCTTAAAATCGACCTCGAAAGGTCGCCGTCAAAAAAAGTTTGAATTTAAATTTGAGTTCTTTTCCTAGTTCTATCCTAGTGATTCAACTTTCTGAGGAGAAGGAGCCTTGACGGATGTTTGACTCTAGTCGAGATCCAAAACATCGATACTCACGAGTGACGGATCGTCTGTTATACGACCAAAGTAATATTGTGCCATTTCGGCATTGGTTTCAAAATTTTTTTACCCCATAGAAAATGGGGTAGAAAAAAAACATTGTTAAGAGGTTCTAAGGGGTAGGGGTTCTGCACCTATATCCAGCATGCTGGATTTGAGGGCTGAACTGTTGGCGTGAAATTAATATTCTTCTATGTCCTATAATTTCAACCGAATCCCTACATTCCTGTGTATGAGGCGAATTAAAGATTTCATACCATCTCAAGTTAATTCTGAGCGCATTTTAATGTCCTACTGGGATCCGTTGCGCGCGTTGAATCTGCCTGAAAAGAAGTCTTTTCCGGAAGCACGTCGAGTCGATGCCAAGAGGCATTTCTGCTTATATTACCATCCCGGTAATATAAGCAGAAATGCCTCTAGGCAATGTCATTAGTGGCAGAAATGCATTATTGGGTTCTGGTTCCAGTCTTGATTCTTGTTCACGATGAGAACAAGTTGGGGAAAAGTTCTTTCCTTGGCCTTCATTCGGCCTTACATTCTCTTAAGAGAACAAGAACAAAACAGCAGCATACCGCAGGTTCTTGAGGAGGAAAGAGGAGGCGCTTCATTCTCCGATCACTTTTTTTTTATCAATGCCTCTTTTTCTTCCTTTTCTTTCGCCGTCGGACAAGGTCTCATTGGTGAGGCTTTGTCCGACGGAGATGGGAGATAGGATCATGATGAACGATCCCAAGTCGCTCATCATGATCCCGTATCTCCATTTAATTATTAGTGGCTCTATCTCTTGATGTCACATCTGAAACTTGATCACTCTCTCGTGTTTGGAGACTATTATTTCCTCATTTAATATCTCTCGAGAACGTTTAGGGTGGCCGCACACCGGCGCGGATCGAAGGGCAGCGTTTCTGTCCCGGGAATAGCATCTCATCGTTTTTTAATGGGAATAAGTAAAACAAAGCGTTCCGGATCGCAGCGCTGACTGGAGCTGACTTTTTTTCTCAGAACGGTCGGAGCATTTTCTCACAGACGTGGAGCGAGAGGCATTTCCTCATAACATGGGTTCGTCTAGATGTAGACGGAAGGAATAGATCTACTCCGTTTCAGTTTGCGAGTATAATCAGCGTTGAATGTTGGCCGGTTGATGGATGTGGGGCTACTCCATGGCTACATTAGCGTGGAATCGGACCCATGAAGGTAACCCGAATTTAAAATAGCCTGGGTTCAGGAATATGTTCATCGATTGGCCCTTAATGATCCTATCCAAATTGACGTACGCTAATGTGCGGGAACCATAAGCTGTCATACGCGCACTGGTTGAGCTATGGTTGCAAGGAGATTCATAAGGTTGCATGGTTCATGTATCATAAGATTGGCCTACCTCCTAGAGATAGATATTTTCGTGTGACCATAACCACCTATTGCCATGTCGCTTACAACTGTACTGCTCCCTTTTTTTGTTTTATCCGTGAAAGGATAATTTGACTAGCTCAAAGTTAGTCAAGGTGGAGGCAGCCACTGCATCTTCACCTTTATTTGTAGGCCTTCAAAACTGAACACAATACCTCCAATACACGCTAAATTGAGTTTTACCAGCGCTGCATATAACGGAAGAATAACGCGCGAGCTCCTGCTGTCAATGGAACGTCGGATGAAGCATAGAATCTCGTTACATTTAGCTACCGCCTCATGCGCATGCGAGGAGAATTTGAGTTCATCAATAGGAATCCATAAATCTCTATCCGTTTGCCTTCTTCAGCTTATTGACGCCGAATACATTCAAATGCCTATCGGTATCATGACCGATGCGAAGAACCTTACACTTACTTTTATTAAACCTCCTGAGCCATTTCTTACTCCACTCGTCCAAAAGCTATAAATCCTGCTCGGCTCTAGCTCTGCCTTCTTCCCCCCCCCCCGGAAGGAGATATCTATTTGGTGTTTTCGGCAAATTTGCTGATTTTACTTGTTAGGCATCTAAATCATCTAAATCGTTTATGTCGACCAGAATGCGAAGCGGTCCCAGGACCTCACCCCTAGGGACCCCGCTTGCAACCCTGACTTCCGTCGACACCTCCATTAACCATTACTCGTTGCTCTCTTCCCGACAACGAATTACTCATACAGTTAATCATCCTATAATGGATCTCGTGCGCCTCCAATTCAGCCCGCAACCTCTTGTGAGCAGTGGCAGCTCGTGATATTTAGCACTAGTGGTGCGTCTATGGAGAGGGGGGAGGCAGGGGAGGGCACTGCCTACCATGGACTAACCACTAGCGCAAATATCACGAGCAGCCACTGCTCGTGAGGAACGGTATCGAAAGCTTATGCGAAATCTAAGTAGACGATGTCCATGGGATTCCCGTTATCTCTGTTCCGTCACTCAATCGCAAACTCTAGCAAGCTGGAAAGACGATTTCGTCTTCTCCTAAAGCCGTGCCAAGTTCCGGATGAGCACGTTCCCCTCGAGGAAATCTATGATTTTGTGATCTCTTGGGATACTTTCCATGATCTTCGGAATACTCATGAGACTCGCCGGCCTGTAATTACTCGGATTGCTCTTATCGATCGGTACGACATTCGTTACTTTCCAGTCATGAGACACTCGTCATCCGTAGAGAAAAGTATATCTAGTAACAGGTCATTTCTCGTCGGTTTTTAATGTGTTGCACAATGAGAGCATCCTGGATCGCAATAGAAACTACTTTTGCCTCTCGCACCCCCTTCGTGTCACAGATCAATTTATGTTAGGCAAATTAAAATCTCCAGAGAGAAAAACATTCCTTGACTTCTCGCCAATACCACTCGTCAACGCGTGAAATACAATGTGATCCTCTCGGGGCGTTTTTGGACGCCTATAGCAGATTCCTAATAACATCCTCCCTGTCGCCCCCACCGATATCACACCATAAATGTTCAATTGTTCCATAATTAACAGAAGTAAGATCCTACCTAACGCAAACACCTAGTTAATTTTTCATATAGCATGACCCCACTCCCCTTCCTTCCGAACATATTCTTACGCAGTGTCGAATCCCTGGATTTCGAATTCCCTATCCATGATGTCCTTGCTCCCCCAAGTCTCAGTAATTCCAATAACGTTATATCCGATTCCTAGCACTCTCCCCAACAGCTCATCCATTTTGTTACGCAAGCCATTCGTGTAAAAACACTTCAACGAATTATTATCGAGCCTATTCTTGATATCGGTATGTGGGGCATCGAATTACACGTAGTGGCTGTCCCTTGCCCGTGAGTGATTGCCTTTCGATCCGAAAAAGAAGGTTGTATCTCTTTCTTTATTGCTATCCCTACCTCTCAAGCTCCCTCTTCGGAGAAACGAAGAGGATCCCTTGTCATCGGATGCGCGAATCGTCTCATAGCCTCCCTGGTGTCCAAGAACGCTGTCCCCCTCCCACCAACCATTAATTTATTCATTATTCTGCCAGCATTGCGTTTGTCTTGCGTCTTCCCGAAAGAAGTACCTCACGTGGAAGACCGAGCAGTGAAAAAGAAAGGACTGCTTTCTTCAAACCATTATTTCATCAGAAATATTCACAAACCGTTCATTTTTGGCTCTTTTGGAAGACTGCGCTCTGCATCGAAGTAG